AGACAGTAAAATAGAGCACGCTAAGATGTTATCTGCCTCTCGATGTTTCAGGATACCAATAAGCCAGTTATAATGTTACAATCTTTGCTACACGCACGCGAATGGGTAACCTTACCAGTTACTTTATATGCCATCGAGAAACTAGTTATTGATATCACGGATAAAAATTTGGTTGACAACATTGACTGGATCATTTTACCCATCGCCAATCCCGATGGATATGAATTCAGCCATGAACATGTAAGTGGTTAATATTTTAATTTACATTTCTAATATAATTTATCTTTATATGTTAAGTATCTAACTTCGGAATAGAATTAGATTGCATTTATCGTAAACAAGGAAACAAGATAAGCCTTTGCCTCAAAAATACAAACTTGATAGTTATTCGCACTAACGTGCAGTAAGACTCAACATTTGTCTTGATATTTTTTTTTCAGCTCCGTTTCTGGAGGAAGAATCGTTCAACTGGCCACACCATTACTAACTTATGCGTTGGCGTTGATCTCAATCGCAACTTTGGCTACAATTTTGGCTTATGGTCTAGTGATATTGCTTGCTCCGAAGCGTACCATGGCAAAGGTCCTTTCTCTGAACCGGAGAGTCAGGCCGTCCGCAGCATTGTCCTGGAGCACTCGAACCGTTTGGAGCTATATTTTGATGTCCACAGTCATGGTAGCATTATTCTCTACGGCTACGGTGATGGTATTCTTCCACCTAATGGTTTGACTATACATTTAGTAGCTGTAAGAATAGCTCAAGCTATTGATGCTGTCAAATGGCCTTCAAAACCGAATTACAGTGTTGGTAACATAGCTTTGACATTTGCGAATGTATCAGGAACAGCAATGGATTACGTTCAAGGGATAGGTGTACCACTTTCTTATATCCATGAAATGCCAGCACATAGAAATGAAAATAATAGTCTTACTGGTACTCTGGTAGATCCGGATTATATTGAACAAGCTGGCTATGAAACTTGGGAAGGTATTAAAGTTGGTGCAAGATGGGTTCTAGAAAATTCTAGAAGGAACAAACATTAATATTTTTATTGGCATAATGTAATTGCTTGTATAATGGTATTTAAATAAAATGTATTCTGTTTTATAGTCTACATATTTTTAAATGATACGCAATCTTCTTTAATATCACACGTCCTATCAAAACAGATAAAAACAATTACATAACAATTTAAATGTTAACGTATCCTGGTATAATCTTTGAGAAAAGAGTAAAAAATTTAAAAGACCAAGAAACACAGCTAATATTCCTAAAACTAAAAACTATCGCATTTCGTAACATGAGAAAAAAAGAACATAGTTACTGAAGCATTAAAAATGTTAACATCTTGGCGGTATACTAAGGTAGAGTAACTGACGGAGACTAAACTGCTAACTAGAACCAAATTAAATGTGTGTAGACTTTCACTGTTGTAAATTGTATTTGTATTTTATAATCTAAGTAAAATATAATAGCAAAGATTAAGACATTCGGTTCTGCTATTTAAAATTATAGGAAAGTATCACGATTGTGTATCGCTGATAATTATAAAACAAATTTTATTGTTTACATCTTGAAAACAGACAATTGTAAAAAATTTTGATATAGACATTAAGCCAATCTATTGTATTCATACAAATAAAAAAATAAGAACAAATCAAACAATAAAATAATGAATAGCAAATAAACATCTTAGTGATTTTGCCGAACAAAATTTTACAGTGACAGATTATTATGAGAATCGTCGGATTAAGGACATTTCCATTTACTGAACATCCCATCTCCGCCTAATCCACCTTGAAAAAAGGTGAGAAAGGACTAGAATTTAAGCCTCCGACACTCAAACTCCGATGCGGTAGAGAGAACGTCGGCTTAAGGGTCAATTTCGATGTCCAATCATGTACCAATTGTGTTTTATGTTTTTTTTTTAATATCATAAGGTGGCAAACGAGCGAGCGGCCAACTGAAATCGCTGAAATAGCGAAGTCACCGTTGCCTATAGACACACGCAATTGCATACGCGTTGCCTACTTTTAATCGACGGAGGAGAGAATGCACTGAAAGAAAATATTTACCCTCTCCATGTATCCTCTCATACGGAAAGTCCACTTCCACTTCTCATCCTTTCCTTATAATAAAAAGGGTGGGAAGGGAAAGAGGACTAAATTAGGCCTCCGGGACGCACACTCATCGGACGAAACGCGGAATAGCTTCCACTTCACGCCTTTCTTCTGTGTGGTCGTGGTATTTCACCGGGCGAGCCGGGCCGATTCGTGCGAAGATGTTAAAGCGGGCTCTACCACTGTTAAAAGTGAAGTAATATCATCATCATCTTGTTTTTGACTATGGCCTAGTCACTTGGATTGCTGAGCCTCTCGCTAGGAATAATTATAAGTAGACGACACATATCAAAAGTAGCGGATGTTACGCATAAAACACTTATAAACAGATTAACTCTTATCTACGAGACGGTTTACATTAGATTAGAGAAATATTTCTAATTTTGTAATACTTCCCAGAATTAAACTAAAGTTTTTTTCCCCAATATTGGAAAACTTTATAAGTCACTAGCTGTAGCCCGCGACTCCGTACGCGTGGATATATAAAAAAACTTAATGTAGCCCACCCATCCATCCATCCACATCACATCCATCTAAAAATTCGCATTTATAATATTAGTAGGAAAAAAAAAATTATCCTATGTCCGTCTCCTGGTTCTAAGCTACCTCCACACCAATTTTTAGTCATATCGGTAAAGCAGTTCTTGAGTTATAAATAGTGTAACTAAAACGACTTATATAATAATATATATATATATACCTAACTCTCTATATATAAGAAGATAGATGATAGACAAAAATATATAAATTGACTTAAAAACTTTTAAGTATAAAATAATTAGTAGCTAATTTTTATTATTGAAAAGTCGTCTAACGATCTAACCTTTGGTTTCTGGTACCAAATTTCTTTATAAAATATCGTCATCACTGTCATTATCTTTGACAAAACACGAGATAACAATACTTTTGAAATGGGAATTTTGGTTTTAGAAAACTTCCTTAATCACAAATATTTTTTTATTTATAAAGATTGATGCCAGAATTACTATGAAGTGTTTCTACAAGTAACTATGATATAAATCGTCAAAATGAATCTCATTATCTATTGTAACATTTTTTAAACTGACACGTTCAAAGGAATATCTCAAAGTTGACTTAGTTTTGGAACTTGATGCCACTGTAAGTTTAAACTCTAAGCCGACACAGTGGCTTTAAAAAAAAAGTAAACAAATTAAAAAAAAATCACGTAATAAACAAATTGTTACAATTTAAAAGTATTTGATTTTTTTCTAAAATTGTTTAATAAAAATTTTTAGTGCTAAAAATATAATTTTTATCAATTTTCATGTATAATAAATTGTCCTTTAACCCGTCATTTATAGATACCGACGTGGATTATATTATACAGGCGACTTTTATACAATTGCCTCATTGATTAATACTTATCGTGAAATTGTCTGCATTACTGTAGTCAACTCGAAAATAAATAAGATATAGTGCCTATTAAAACGCTATATTTAAGAAGAAATAAATATGACAAAAAATAATTGTAAAAAAATTGTCGGATGTCACTAATTTAATTAAAAAAGTTTATTACGGTTTACTAGCTGTCAAGAAATTACAAAGTCAAATTATCAATGACTAGTTGTCGCCCGCGACTCCGTCCGCGAGGAATTATAAAAAACTATTGGTCGCAGCGTAATGTTATACAGCCTAAAGCATTTCTCTATAAATGGACTACCCAACGAAAAAAAAAATCGAATCGGACCAGTAGTTCCTGAGATTAGAGCGTTTAAACAAACAAACAAACTCTTCCACTTCATAATATTAGTATAGATTTCCTCAATTCACATTTTACTGACAGTTTACAATATGCCTAGACTGATTATAAGCTGTCGTAGCTCGATTGGTGATTACGAAATTAACAGAATGATTTTATAATTATTGCCAGTAGCGGTTTTAGGGTAGGGCAACCGCCCTGGGCACCCGGCATTAGTGGGCGCCGCAGTCACCAGTGTCGAATATAAAAGGGCGCCTGTGAGCTGCCATATCTTTAGAAGATTTTTTTTCTGCACCACAAAAAGGGGCGCCTCAAAAATGTTGCAATGGGCGCCTAAAATGTCGCCCTGGGCGCCGAAAATGCTTAAACCAGCCCTGCATTTTTGTAACTAATTAGATTTAAATATCGGTTGCTATCCCTGTAGAAGTAATGATATTTTCGCCACCTGTGGAAGCAATAAACGCTCTACTTATATTATCATTGTGTTATAAATTCATTATCTCCACAATATAATCCTATGTTATTCTAATCCATATAGATTATTGATTTTAGCAACTGTACAGTTATCTTTAAGTACCTAGGGATAATATAATAAAAACGAAGTCGCTGCCGCGTTTGGCTCAGTTTGGGAATTGTTGGCCAAAGAAGTTGGTCAAGATGTACAAATTTGCATTTCTGCTCGCACTCTCTATCGGCTTGGCTCTTGCCAAACACGAGGAATACGATGGGTAAGATTTAAGTAATGTTAGTTTTATTTAAATACTACGTAATAAAGTAGACTATGTTATTGTTAAATTGAAAAAAGATCGTCAATTGTTTTGATTAGCAAATTAACTTTTAATCTTCTCGTTATGAGACTGTGCGGCGTTGAATCGATGACAACACACCAACGCCGCGCAGTCTTCTTAACCCATATACAATCTCATTCTATTATTAAAATCATATCTAAAATTGTTATAAAATTTTATTTTAGATCCGTCGTGTACCAAGTTAAGGTAGCCAATGTGGAGCAGGCGGAACAAGTTTATGCATTAGAAAACAAATTGGGCTTGGACATGTGGTCTTACGCCGCTCCCTCCAGGCCTGGTTTGGTACTCGTTCCCGGACCCATGCGTCAACGGTTCCAGACTGAAGTTGCTGCTCTTGGAGCGCAGTACGAACTTCAAATTGGAAACGTAAGAGAGTAAGTATACTTCATTACTATTAATTGCCAATGTTTTTATAAAGTCTTCAGTATTAGGTTAAAAGTCAGAAGTTTGATAGTTAGTCTACGGACAAGTAAATAAGCTCCTAAAATTTATTACTTAATAATCATAAGATTGAGTGAGTGTCGCTAATTTTCTGGCTTTGGCGAGGTGGTTGCAGTATTTTCAAAAGTGTTAAAGAAATAAATTTTATGTTATAGGGCGATTGAGCTGGAAGAGAAACTTTTGGCATCAGCGGCTTCCCGTAACAGCAGCAGAAGCGGCCGTCTTACTTTGGACAAGATCTACCGTTATGCTGAGGTATGGTTCACATACCAAAGTAACGAACAAGAATAACGCAGCGACCGACAATGGGCCTTGGCCTCTGGCAATGAAAGTATCTTCTCAATCCCGCCCAATGTCTACACTGTCCTTGACTTGGAGGTCTTATAGTTCACCTATCCATTATAATAAAATGATGTTGCGGTCTCTAAATTCAAGATACGTACCTGACAAGATTGGGGGAAAATTAATGTCGATTGTTTGTCTTTAAAGTGATTCTTGCTTTTTTTTCTGCTCTCCATTTTTCATCGCGATAAACGTTTCTTGGGGTTTATTATTTAGCGGTGTTGGAGATACCTTCGAACAAACATCCGTCTATCCCTATACCTGAACTACTATTAGTATTATAATTGTGAATGTAGTTAATTAAGATTATTCTTATATTCTAATTAATTTTTAAGGTCAACGCATACCTCGACGAGCTGGCTGAGAAATACGAAACAGTGACTGTTGAATCTGCTGGCAAGAGTTTCGAAAATCGTGACATCAAATACCTGAAGATTTCCACCACCAATTTCGAGGTAATACAATACACTTAAGACCTTACAAAATCCACTGACAGTGCAAATATACTTATCATCAAAATTTATGAATAAACACAACTTTATTACTCCTTTTTTAAGACCAAGATTTTAAATATGATGAGAAAGCAGCGAAAGTTTACTATTAAGCGATTTTTGTTAAAAAAAGACTTTACTACTTAATTTTGATGTAAAATGT